AATAAATGACATGACAAGACCGACAGAAATGGCGAGGGATGGAGAAGAAAGAGACAACTCAATGAGGACTGCCGTCGACAAACCAACGACCATGGTGTATTTGAAAAGTCCCGACCTTTTTAGCAATGATAGTGATGATAGTGATATAAGCGGCCCTTCGACATCGAACCATGCGGTGCAGGAAGCTAATGCCGATAAGGAGGAAGCCGACGCCGATAAGCAAATATTAGTTTGGGAAAAAAGAAATCCATTATTTTTTCGGTAGATGGCTGCACTGATAGATTTCTCGTAAAGTATCGATCAAACAATTTCAGATTTATGCTCGTTGGAAAGGTGACATTTCGCAGTAAAAAAAATTCTTTTGCTGTTTTTTGTTTGGTGCATTCAGTTGTGAGTTACAGCGTGCTAAAAATGGAAGTGAACAAAGAGAAAATTCGGTACATTTTACAGTTTTTCTTTGACAAAGGCGAAAATGCAAGCCAGGCGGCTAATTTTGGATGGTGTTTATGGTTCCGATACTGTAACAGCCAATTATGTGCAATTTTGGTTTCGTAGATTCCGTTCAGGAATTTTTGATGCACCTCGCACAGGAATGAGATAGACCCATTTCTTAAACGGATGGTGAGTGGAGATGAGAAATGGATCACATACGATAACCCTGTGCGAAAACGATCGTGGTCAAAGAGCGGTGAAGCACCTCAAACGGCCAGGAAGGTTTTGCTATGCATTTGGTGGGACTGGAAGGGGATTATTTATTATGAGTTGCTTCCATATGGCCAAACGCTAAATTCTGATCTCTACTGTCAACAACTGGACCGTTTGAAGATAGCGATTGACCAGAAACGGCCAGAATTGGCCAACAGGAGAGGTGTCGTGTTCCACCAGGACAACGTTAGACCACACACATCTACAGTGACTCGCCAGAAACTTCGGGAGCTTGGTTGGGAACTTTTAATGCATCCGCCATACAGTCCGGACTTGGCACCAAGCGATTATCATCTTTTTCTTGCATTGTAAAATTTCTTTAATGATAAAAAATTGGAATCTAGGGAGGATTGTGAAAATCGACTACTAGAGTTTTTTGCAAATAGAGACCAGGACTTCTATGAGAGAGGCATTTTGAAGTTACCTTTAAAATGGCAACAAATCGTACAACAAAACGGTGCATATTTGACCCAAATCGGACAATCCGAAGCCTGTTAAATAAAGTCCTGAAGTTCATATAAAAATAATGGATTTCTTTTTCCCCAAACTAATATATGAAAATCGGATCGCAGCGTACGCAGCCCAGCTGGAAGAAGCCAACGCCGATATGGAAATGCTAAAACGTCGGATTGCAGGTTTTGAAGCCCAGCTGGAACCCCAACCTGATAACGTGGTGGCGGACATAGAAGAACTTCGGGGAAGTCGTCAAGTGTTTGACGGCTGAAGACAAAATAGCACAAATGTCTTTCGACGAAGTGTTCACAAACAATCTGGCAGTGTATTCGCGGAAGACCGATACGCTAATAGGATGCCAATACGCCGACGACAGGCAGAAGGAAACCTGCCCGCACAAAACAATGCTTGTTTTCGGCGTAAGAAGCCTGGCGACGGCTTTCAACCTCATTTTAAGCGTAAACCCTCCCGCTCCCGTCAAAGGCCAATGTTTTAGAAGAATTAATTTTGAAGAACGTAGACATGGCAAAACAAATTGGGCTGGACGTGCGGGCTGTAGTGTCTGGCCGGAATAAGTCGTACGGTAAATTTACGGAAAAACTACCGCGTGGAGTAGTACACCAACATGATTATCTACACATCCTGAAGAGTCTAAAAGAAAACGGTGAGAAATTGAAAGGTGGGCACGACTATTCAATAATGACCAAATTGTGCAAGCTCGAAGAGACCACCAGCAAATTTTGGACCCTTCGAGGCGCCATTGTAAACGCTGGAGTTCCCTGGTATCTTCCAGAGTCGGTGCAATTTTTCAACAACTC